GTATTCTGGTCACACATTTTTTGGGTTGCGAAGCAACCTATTGCAATCGTTATGTACAATTTTTTTTTTCATCATCTAAAAAAATGATGAAAAAAAAACCTAGCGATGGGAGCTAAGTGTTTGACTGCTAAGTATCCGCCACGGCAATTTAGCAGATGCCTTACTATATTCATTCTCGTTTCCTAGTTTGCAGTGACTCTATGGATTGCCAAAACGATGTTACTGTGAACGAGTGACTTCTTATCCATAATGCATATGCCGGGTGATGTTATGCATAGATGAAATATAATGATGGATATGATGAACTCATCCATATGCATTTATGCACAAAGGTGCATAAATGCATATGCTCTTGTGGTAAATACACTATATATCTCGAAATAAATGCAGTGTAGTGAAATGAATGCATACCATGATCGAAATGCGCAACTGTTAATTAACCCAAGCCCTATGCTACCGCATCCCCTGCCTAGCATGGGGGGGAGGTCGATAGCATAGTTCCTGAATCATTTAACTGTTACATGAAACAACACAATCTGTGCAAACTAGAAAAATGATCAAGATCCATCAAATCCAGTTCAAGTGAACACACTCACTGAGTGGGCAAAGAACCTTCTCGGAAATGATAGGTTGACCATCTTTTTAAAATCCACAGATGCGTATTGTTAATGCAATGATGAATGCATATGGATGAGTGTGCACACACGAAGACACATACACGACTCACATACCGATATGCGCACACAAAAACTCAGGCACATTCCGTTCACACACAAAAGGGCAATGCAGAAACAATAGAAACAATAAAACCAATGCAAACGAAAATTATCACTACAATGCAGCTCCACAAGTCATGACTATTATCGTTACACTTCATAAGTACTCCTGACAGAAGCAGCAAAGCCTCTGAACATAAAAAAAAAGGGGGGGGAGGGAGGGGTGGTGGGGGGAAGAGGGGGGGAGAGGGGAAGATTTTATTCTCCTCCAATAAACAATCAAATAAGAGGAAGGCTTAGGACAAGGACGATGAAAGCAAGGAGACGGCGGATATACAAATGAAAGCAAGTAGAAGGTCAAAGCAAGGAATATGGGTGGTGAAGACATCAACAGAATATAACAGTTATACAACTTACCAAAACAAAAGGAAACAGAAGAAGAAGAGAAGGAACAAGAAGAAGAATACGCACGAGGAGAAGGAACAAGATGAGGATGAGAGGGGAGTGGTAAAACAATCAGCAAAGAACGCAACAGAAAGACATAACGAAACGATTAGACAATGTTGGGAAATGAAATGAAAGCGTAGAAGGGAAAGAAAGAGTTGAGACAAAAGGAAAGCAAGGATAAGAAAGGTTCAGAAATGAATCAGGGAAAATCTGGAGGGCACATAAGATGGAAAGAAGTAAGATGGGAAGAAAATAGAAAGGGAATTGCAGAGAGAAAGGAGAAAGTGCAACAGGTAGGAAGGAGAGACGCAAGAACACAAGAAAAGACCGGATAACGCTGAAAGTTAACGACTATACAAGGAAAAGAAACAGACAGTAAAGAGAAGAAAACAAGAAGGAATCAACGAACGAAGTGAAGAAAACAAGTATGGTTAGAAAAGATTTACTACAGCAGGAAGTTAAAGAAAATGAACGGATAGACGTTAAACTAAAGAAAACTGAAGAGCACGTAAGAATGAAAGACGAAATCATTGTGGAGAGTCACTCTACAACGGTAGTGAGCTAGACTACGGGGGTTGGCACGAACTACAAGGAGTGATCGTAGCTTTGCTTAGTTCCTTAGTGCTTGCACATTCACGAGAGAAATCGGCAAGAGTTTCCACTAGCAAAGTTGGAATTACAGAATGATTGAACAAGCAATGACAATAATGACTACATCAGGCACCTAGCAACCCTGCAGCTAGTCTGGTCGACCGCCAGCACAGCTCGGTCGACCGTCGGCCAGCGTTGCGTCGAGGAGCCGCGCCAGCACTGCAGAAGGGCGACCTGCCAACAGAGCAGGTCGACGGCGTGCCAACGCTGCAGCAGAGCGGCTGTCCAGCGTTGCCCCGTAGAACACAGCAGTGCACACGCTCGCAGGTGTGCGCAGACGATTGGCCCGACTTGCCTCGTTCGGCATCCGTCGGCTATTGTCTGCGCCTGACGAGCCACATCGACTTCGGGATACCAACCCGCAGTCGCCTTCGCCATCGCAACCTCGACGACGTTCGCGTGCCTTCGCGGAACTCGTCGAGCAGGTTACCCAGTCGACCCGGTCGACCACCAGGTGCTTCCGGTCGACCACCACTGCTTCAGGTCGACCACCAGGTCCCTCTGGTCGACCACCAGGTGCCTCTGGTCGACCACAACCCCCGTCGAGCTACCCCTTGGTTGACGGACCCCTTCCGTCGACCAGAACTGCTCTGTCGTCCTCCCAGTCGAACTGCAGGTCGACGGGATGCTCCGTTGACCTCCCGGTTGAGCTGCAGGTCGACGGGATGCTCCCCAGACCTCCCCGTCGAACTGTAGTTCGACGGGATGCCCCGTAGACCTCCCCGTCTAACTGCAGGTCGACGGGATGCCCCGGAGGCCTCCCCGTCGAGCAGCAGGTTGACGGGATGCTCCGTCGACCTCCTGGACGGCCCACCCGTCGCCCAGGCCAGTCAGTTGCAGCTGTCGGGCTCCCTGGTCGACAGCAACACCACAGCGGTCCCCTGCAGCTCGACGAACCCTGTCGAGCAGCTCTCCCACTGTGAACGGTCGGCTGCTACTCCCGTACATCCGACCAAGTTGTCGGCGTTGCCCAAGCGAGGGCGGGGCCAACACTCCGTTCCCGTTAACACTCCCCTGCCGCGCTCACGCTTGGGCCTCCAGCCCGCACGGCAGTACTCCACGGAGAAAACTCGTCCTCGGCGTGCACCCCACACACAGCACGCCGTCACCGCACCAGCCGTGCAGAAGGGCACGGCACCTACTGCTGCACCTCGTCGTCGCCGTCGCCGACGTCGGCCAGAGGAACTTGGCCGATGGCGACAGAGCACCGGTTGAAAGCCGGAAAATGCAGCGCCTTCGTCAGGAAGTCTGCCGGCTGCTCGGTGGTCGGGATGTACTCCAGCACAAATTTCCCGCGCCTCACCATGTGCTGCAGCCAGGCGTAGCGTCGCTCCATGTGCTTGAGGTTGCCCGTCAGCCCCAAGCCCTCAGCGACCGTGATTGCCGACTTGTTGTCGACGCGGAGGGTGGTCGGCTTCCCAGCGTCGAGCAGCTTGAATTCCGCAAGAAGAAATCAAAGTCGGCGTCCCTCCTTGCCAGCATCCGTAGCCGCGACGTACTCCGACTCGGTCGAGGAGAGCGTCGCGCACTTGATGCGTGAGCTCGACCAGGAGACGGCGGCCCCTCCGTAGACGAACACGTAGCCTCCCGTGCTCGTCCGGTTCTGCTTGTCGCCCGCGTCGTCGGCATCGACGTAGCCGATCAGCTCCAATGATTCCGGTCCACCGCCGAACTCCAGAGCGGTGTCGCGGGTGTCGGCGAGGTAGGCGAGGCAACGATCGACCTCGCGCCAATGCTGGTCGCTCCTCACCGTGAGGCCGCTCCCCAGCTTGCTGCAGGCGAACGCAATATCTGGCCCCGTTGTCGTCGCCGCGAACTGCAGCGAGCCGACTTTCTGCCGGTGCTCCTCCTCTTCGCGCTCCTGAGCCTCCTCGCCGTCGAACGTCAGCTGAGCGTAGGCGTCGACCGAGACCGGCGTCTTCGGGACTCGAAGGAAAACGAAGGAAAGAATCCAAACCATAGAACATTCCCTATAAACCACTGTGAGAAGAGATCTACACATGTTAGCCTAGCTCGTACTCATCTAACTTAAAACTACCTGATAGGTTAGGGTTGTTCTCACCTTTAGTAGAAACTTGAATTAGTTGGTGGGAGCTCAGCTAACGAGAGAGAGGGAGAAGTTTCAGATTCGTCGCATTGCTATAAAACTATATAACGTGAGTTGAGGACGAAGCCGGAGGTGTTGGCCTAGTCGTTAGATGTGAGTCTGTGATCAGTAAGGCGCGGGTTCGAGTCGTTGTAGGTATTTTCGATTCTTTGCCAAGGTATGCCAATTGAGTGTTTTACTATTGTGTACAGTTTCTGAGGATGTACAATTAACTAAATTGTACTTACCATTGTAGAAAGAGCTTCGCAACCCTAGGACGACCTTGTCGCCTCTTGTTTTTTTTGTAATTGTCCAAAACTGATACGTATGTGAGGCGCATGCAAACACACATTCCACTGTTGGCAGTAAAATTGAACTTGTGTAGCATGCGACTCGGGAGACATTAACGAGGATCCCGCCGCATGCTGCGGGTCTAACGAACAGACAAAGCTCTCGAGTACAGTACAGTACAGACTGCAACATAATCCAACCTGGGGAAGGCACCTGGAATGCGACATGCGTCTCGGCGGGAATTCACCGCCTTCACCCATTTACCCCACCCAACGACTGCCATTGCCACCATTCCTCCCTTCCTCCATCCCTAGATCCCGCCTGACTCAGTTCCCTCCCCCACCTCCGTCTCTCTTCTGTTCCTCCTCTTTCTCTCCAAGTCGTGCCGTGTCTTCCGCCTTCGCTGCTGCTCTCACACCTTCGACAAACCTATGGCCTGGTTCGTTGGTGCCTGTTTCACGACGTCGTCACAACGACGTCGTGAAATTCTCGCCTTCGCCTAGCTGGACTCACCAGTTCAGGGCACTTCACTGGCAATAACACTAGACAGATCATGGTACACACTGTAGTGACGTTGCACCCCTATTCGCGCCTCCCCTTGTGGTCGTTTGCGGCTTCATGCGCGCCGCAACAATACCCGCTGTTACTATGGCTGTCCATTCCCGCAGCAGGCGCCGGGTCAGAACGCGCCTCGTACTCCGCGCGCATCCCTTCAGCCAATCTACCTCCGCTCAATCCTCGTCCGCCTTAGACCATCCTGATCTCCCGTCAACGAAGTCAACGTTCCGAACGTGGGAGAAAACCCGATAATGCCGCTACTATACTCAACGTCACAGGTACTACTCTTCCATTATATACTCGACCTCCCTCCAGTTCGCTCAGAAAATCCGTGCATCAACGCCCGGGATTGGTACCAGTAATACAAGCGACGGTAGTGCTCGAGTTGTCGCCCCCGTAGGGACTATATTCTTCTAGTGCTATTTCCGCCTCTCAAATCGTACACTCTCATTCTAATCCGCACATCTCCAGATTCTCACACAGCATTATGGCCTCATTCCCTCGCGCCCTCCCGTTCCCCATCCCCGTCCCCGCGCGCGTTTCCATCATCGCCCTTCTCGCGCTCATCGCGCTCCTCCGCCAGGCGGAGGCCTACACCGAGCCGCCGATCCCCGACGGGTGCATCGCGGAGGTGGCGGAGGCCGACCGGGAAGCCGTGCGCGCGGTGTACGCGGCGCTGCCCGAGGGGATGTTCTCCTGGCACGACGACAACGCGGCGCTGCCCGAGGGGGTGTTCTTCTGGGACGACGGCATGTTCGACCAACACGGAAACGTCACGTACTGTTACATTGTGCCCTCGCCCTGCGACTGGATCTCCGACTTGAGCCCGTTCCAATGCACGCCCGCCGGCCGCATAACGGGCATTTTTTCCGACCCGAGCCGCCAGGACATGCCCGGGCCCGTTGGGAGCGGAGGAAGCTGCCCGCCCGGCGCGCTGTCGCCCGCCATTGGCGACCTCGCGGAGCTCTCGTCGCTTGTTTTCCGCCACTCGTGCCTCGCCGGAAACCTGCCAGACTCCGTCACGCGCCTCCAGAAGCTGACGGAAATCGTCATGCCCGAAAACAACTTCTCCGGGCCCATTCCGCCGGGCCTCTTCCGCCTGCCCGCGCTCCGCCACGTGGATCTGAGCACACTCAGTACCGACCCGGATTTTCAACTTCCGTTTCAAGGCCTATCGGGGTCCCTTCCTGACGGGCCCGACGCGTACTCTTCGTCTTTGGAAGAGGTTATCCTGTCCGGCAACGCGCTCTCGGGGGAGCTTCCGCGCGCCCTTCTCCGCGCGCCTGCGCTGCGCCAGTTGGACCTGCAGAGCAACAACTTCACGGGGGAACTCCCAGGTGATGCGGGCGCGTATTCGCGGAGCATTACTGCGCTCATCCTGCGCAACAACAGCCTGTCCGGCGCCATTCCGCCCGCGCTGGCGGAGATGACGGCGCTGGGGAAACTCGACCTGGGGGAGAACCGTCTATCCGGCGCGGTGCCCGCTGCGCTGCGCGACTCCCTCAAGGCGCTCGACGAGGTGCGGCTCGACAGCAACGCGCTCACTGGGCCGTTCTGCGACGCGCTTCTGCCGGCACGCGAGCTCTGGCTGGGCTTCAACGACCTGGGCGGCGCCAGCGGCGGCGGCGGCGGAGGTGAGGAGGAGGATGAGGGCTCTCTGCAGAGCTGCGTGCTTCCCGCGAAGCTACAGCTACTCAGCGCTCCGCACGCGGGGCTGCGGGGGGACGTTCCGCCCGACCTGTTCCTCGCGACGAACGCGCAGTCGGGGCGCAGGCTCTTTCGTGGGTTTATGATGGACCTGAGCCACAACAGCCTCTCGGGCAGCCTGAAAGCTTTCACGGTGCTTCCGTCCGGGGCTTTGGATCTGTCGCACAACAACTTCTCCGGCGGCATTCCCGAGGCGTTTTACAGAGAATTTTCGCGCGTGGACCTGCGGTTTAACGACCTGCAGGGGCCGCTGTTCGACGCGCGCTCGGACTCGCGGTATGGTCATTGGAGTTACGACTGGGACGTGCTGCGCGTGAGCAACAACAGCGCGCGCATGGCGGGCGCCGTGGGCGCGGGGTACCTCCCCGCGCCGGCGCCTGACGTGCGGACCTCCGCTGCGGAGACTGCTGCGCTGCTGGCGGTGCGCAATGCACTTCTGGGGGAAGCCGCAGGAGGTGAAGCAGCGGGAGGAGCAGGGGGGGGCGCAGTGGCGAAATCGGTGGCGGATGGCGGAAACAGCTCGTGGGCGGAGATACTGCGCAGCTGGGACGCGAGCAGCAGCAGCGCGTGTGCGTGGTACGGCGTGGGATGCACGGAAGACGGACACGTGGACACGCTGCACCTGATAGGCGCTTCTAAGGTCTTGCTGCACCCCAACTTCGTCCCGGAATCGCCCGAATGCTGGTACGACCAGTATGGCGACCAGACATGCGCGCACGACGTTCCGCCGCCTCCCAATACGGTGTGGTTCTTCCTGCAGGGCCTGCATGGCGGCAGCGCTAGCTCCGGCAGTGCGAGTGGGAGTCTGTCGGAGGCGTTGGGGCAGCTGACGCAGCTCACCTCGCTGCGCATCTCCGGGCACGTTCTCTCCGGCGGCCTGCCGCCGACCCTCTCACGCCTCTCTCACCTCGTCGCTCTCGACCTCTCCTCCAACCGCCACCTCTCCGGCTCCATCCCTCCGGGCCTCTTCGCCCTCCCCTCGCTGCGAGAGCTCTCCCTCCGCGGGAACAACCTCACGGGAGAGGTCCTCCCGACCACCACTGCAGCAGCAGCAGCAGCAGCAGCAGCAGCAGCAGCACTGTCTCTGTCACCGAGCTTGGAGAGTTTGGACGTGGGGGGGAACGCTCTGTCGGGGTCCATTCCAGCTGCCGTGAGTCTTCTGGCGGGGCTGACGCGCCTGGCGCTGGACCACAACCGGCTGGACGGCAGCTTGCCAAGGGAGCTCGGCGCGCTCTGGATGCTCACACACCTGCAGCTGCAGGGGAACGCCCTCCAGGGGGACGTCTCTGCACTCGCTGCCGCCTTCCCCCCCCCTGCTGCTGCTGCTTCTGCTGTTGCCAGCGATGGCAGTACCGCCGACTCTGCTGCCTTGTGGGGCCTCCGCGGGGTGTTTCCGCTGCTGACCCGTCTAGACGTCAGCAGCAACGAGCTCTCGGGCGATGTAGCCGCGCTCTTCCCTCTCCGGCCATACCTCCACACGCTGAACGTCTCACACAACCGTCTCACGTGCAGCCCCAGCAAAGCCTCGTGGAGCACCACCTACATGGACCTGTCACACAACCGCATCCGCACCCCGCTGAAAGACCTCTTCGGGAACTCCTACGGATTCTACTCGAGGGTGCTGCGTCTGTCACACAACCAGCTGTCGGGACCCATCCCTGCCCCTCTCCTGGGACGCATATTGTCGGGCGAGTTGGACCTGTCTCACAACCTGCTCACGGGTTCAATTCCTGCCGTCACAGCTTACACGGAGACGCTTGATCTGTCGTACAACCAGCTGTCTGGAACCATTCCCAAGCTCATTGGCTCCCTGAAATCTTGGGACTTGTCCCACAACCACCTCACCGGAAAAGTTCCACCGACACCGCCTGGCATGGTGCATCTGAACGTGAGCTGGAACCAGCTTGATGGGATTGCCACGTGGCAAGATCAAGATGGTCGGTGGTTGGAAAGTCTGGACGTGTCTCACAATGCAATGGCTGGAAATCTGCCGGTTTTGGGTCACAGATTTGGGCTGCTGAGCCTGACCTACCTGGACCTCTCCTACAATACATTCTCTGGCACTCTTTCAGAAAAGTCCTTCCCATTTTGGGGGAACGTGACAGCTGCTCCAGCAAGGATGGTGCATACGTGTGGGGCAGAGGTTCGGCTGAGCCACAATGAGCTCACTGGGAGCATCTCTAGTTCCGTCTTCTCCGCGTGCCTCTCCCTGCTTGACCTCTCCCACAACCAGTTCTCTGGCCCCATCCCAGTCCCTCCCCAAGGGAACAGCCAGAGCTCCTCCCTCGTCCCCCTCTCCCACTTGGACCTCTCTTCCAATAAACTCACAGGAAGCATCTCCAATGCTCTTGTCACCGGCCTCACAGCCCTATCCCACTTGGATCTCTCCAACAACCTGCTCTCAGGCTCTCTGCCCCGCTCACTAGCCCTCGCCCCCGCGCTCACCCACCTGGACCTCTCACGCAACAAGCTCAAGGGCTCCCTGCCTGCCTTCTGCCAGGGCAAGCAGCGCCTCGCCTCTCTCCTCCTCTCCTCCAACGCTTTCTCCGGCCCCCTCTCCTCCCTCCTCCCCTCCTCCTCCTCCTCCTGCGCCTCCTCCCTCATCTCTCTAGGCATCTCCAACAACCAGCTCTCCGGCTCACTCCCCGAGTCCCTCTCACGCTTCACCACTCTGCACTCCTTACAAGCTTCGCGCAACCGCATGAGTGGCAGCATCCCTGCAGGGCTGGCGTCGCTGACAGCCCTGCAGGAGCTGGACTTGTCGTGGAGCGGGCTGTCAGGCACCATCCCTGCGCTGCTGCGTGCTGCTGCCCCCTCCCTGCAAGTGCACCTCGCTGGCAACGCCCTCTCTGGCTCTGTCCCCCCCTCTCTCTCCGACCTGCCCACCTCCTGCTTCCGCCCCGGCAACCCCAAGCTCTGTGGGAAGCCCCTGCCTGACTGCAAGAAGCGCTCTACCAAGCCCAGGAAGGGCCGCGTGTAGGGCGTGGGGAGGCGAGAGGACTCTGCGCAGCTTCCGTGTTAATGGAACCTGCCTGTGGGCTGCAGGCAAAGCGTCTACTGTTATATGTTCCATAAATGTGCTTACCTGTAAACCATGAATGTGCTTATAACTTTTTTTCCCTTATTGTACAGTAATTAGACTGAACTTAAAAATAATAAATTGCTGTTTTGGAGGCTTCTATCCGTATGACACTGTTCTATCAGTTAGATTTCCTGGTGTTTGTTGCAGAGCTGATATGCATGTGTTTAGTGGACCGAGTTAGCTGCGGGCTATACGTATCTGAGGCGCAGCAAATACACGTTCCGGTGTTGCAATAATAAAAATATACCTCGCGATGGCCTGCGACTCGGAACTGCCGCATGCTGCGGGACTAACGAACACACTAAGGTCTCAAGTAGTGTACAGCACAGACTGCAACACATCCAAACCTGGAGAAGGCACCTGGAATGCGACATGCGTCTCGACGGGAATTCAGCCCAGCGAGCAACAAACAACCGCCTTCACCCATTCGTCCCTCCCTCCACCCCACCCCATCCCATCAGTGCCACTGCCTACCACCACCACTCCCCCCCTGCGCCCCCCCTGGATTCCCGCCTGACCTTGTTCCCTCCCCCACCTCCTGTCAGAATGAGGAATGAGTGTTGCATTGATGTTGGTTGGGGTACATATGACAAACCCTAACTTCTGTACCCCCTAAGACAAACCTCACTACAGGCTACAACATTTGACACACCCCCATAGCCTAAGTGAGGGGTGTCTAGCAAAAACAAAAAGAGTACGGTCACAAGACCAGTCCAAAAGAAAACAAAGCTCAGGGTGGATCACAACGTCACCACACACTCTGAGCACAAGCAACAGTGGCCACAAGGCCAGTCCAAGAGATCACAAGTATATATAGTAAATGTACAGACGAAGCAGGCAATAAACTCAAGTCTACGCATGACTAGAACCTGTGTCAACAAGGCCTAACTGCACACAACACCTCTGGTGGTCACAAGGCGGAAGCGCCTTGGTGAAGATGTCTGCAGTGTTGGCCTCGGACTCTACGAACTCGAAGCGAGCCTGTCCACGCCTCTGCAACTCTCGCAGAAGAAAGTACCTGATGTGAATGTGCTTCACTCTGCTCTCCAGTCGCGGCTCACGACAGAGGAGGATCGACGCCTTGTTGTCAGTAAACAAGGTCGGTGCAGAGCTCGGCCGCTCACCAAGGTCAGTGAGCAAGAAGGTCAACCACCGCAACTCCTGTGCCGCCATGGCACCAGCGTAAATCTCAGCCTCAGCTGTAGAGGTCGAGACAGAAGAGGAGCGCGTGGAACGCCAGGAAACAGCTCCAGAACCCAGACTGAAACAGTACCCCTGAGTAGACCTGTGAGTCTCAGCGTCGTCAGCGTAAGAGGAGTCACAGTGACCAGTGAGTACGACAGACTGCTGCCCTCCAAGAACTAGCCCCACGCCTGATGTAGTCGCTAGGTACTTCGCCACCCTCACAGCTGCCGTCCAGTGAACAGGACGGTGTCTCCCTGGCGCAACAAAGCGCGCAAGGATGCTGAGAGGGAAGGCGAGGTCCGGGCGAGTACAAGTCATCAGGTACATGAGGCAACCCACAAGCTCTGCGTAGGGACCACTAGGCTCAAACGGCTCGTCAGGAAAGGGACCAGTGAGTCTGTGGTCAACAGCTAGAGGTGTGCGCTGTACGGTGGAGTGCTGAAGCCCGAACCGCTGAAGGACCTGCTGCACCATGTGTGACTGTGAGAGTGTAATGGTGCGAGCGGCTCTGTCCCTGGTGATCTGCAGGCCAAGGTAGTGGCGCAGTTCACCAAGATCAGTGCACGTGTGTCTCTTCTGCAGTTCGGACTTCACGTCTGCCAAAGCAACCCTGTCCGGAGTGGCGAAAACGAGGTCGTCGACGTAAACCAGAACAAAGAACGGTGTGGAGCCACGACGAACGAACAGCGACGGGTCGGCAGAAGACGGCTGGAACCCAAGGTCAGAGAGGGTAGAACGCAGAGTGTCGTGCCACTCACGAGGGGCCTGGCGAAGACCGTAAACAGGTCGCCTCAGCCTCCACTGGGTCCCAGGAGGGAAGGTGCCAGTGAAGGCCGAGGGACGACGCAACCAGACCTCCTCGTGTAGGCTGCCCTGAAGGAAAGCAGTGGAGAAGTCAAGAGAGTGTAACTCGTAGTCTCTCTGTGCTGCTACGTGTAGTAACACCCGAAGAGTGGTCATCTTCGGGGTAGGTGCGAAGGTCTGAAAGAAGTCAACTCCCTCGCGCTGACTGAAACCTCTAGCCACGTAGCGCGCCTTGAAGACCGGGGGAGATCCCGGTGGCCGCTTCACCCTGTAGATCCACATGCCGTCGACTACGTTCGCCCCCGGGGGGGGAACCTCATCGACGTAGGTGCCTGTGGATCTGTAGGAGGCCATCTCTGCGTCCATGGCAGCTCTCCACTGAGAGGCCCAAGGCCCTGACACTGCCTCAGCGTAAGTGCGAGGAGTCGGAATGTCAAGGGCGTCGGGGTCACCCTCAGGGGCGAGGAGCATGGCACAGAGATGAGGGGAAGCGGCCGCCAGGAACTCTAGCTCAAACTGCCTGTCCTCTAGGGCGTCACGGCCAAGGGCAGACACACCCCCGACGGCCAGAGGACTGGTAGGAGGAGCAGCCACAAGCGTGGTGGCGTAGTCAAGGCGGCGGGTAGAGGCAAAGTCAGTAACTGCGGCAGTAAGAGCGGACACAGAGGACACAGAGGCACGAGGGTGAGTAACAAGAGAGGCGAGAACACGAGAGAGAACAGGACGGTACGTGCGGTAGTAGTCAGTGACAGGAGTAGGGAGCGACACAGTGAGGGCCGACTCAGGAGGAGACGGAAGCACAGACTGAGACGGACGAGGTGGACTGGAAAGAAGGAAGGCAGTACGAAGGTCAGTGAAGGGAACAGGAGACGAGGGACGAGCACGAGGGGAGCGACGAGTAGCCCAAGAACGAGACGGAGGAGAAGAGGACAAGGGCGGAGAACTGGGGAAAACAGCGGGGGAGGAGTCAGGAGGAGGAAACGTGGGACCGTAGACAGGAGGAGAGGCGGAGGAGGGAGGAGAAGGGGAGGGGAGACCAAGGATCCGAAGACCCGAGACAGGAGGAGGAAGTGGCTGCTGCTGCTGCGGACGCGACTGCTGCTGCTGCGGACGCGGCTGCTGCTGGGACTGCTGCTCCTGCGGGTCCAGCTGCTGCTGCTGCTCCTCCAGCCGCTGTAACTCCCTCTCCTCTCTCTCCAACGCCAGCTGATCGTCACGGGCACGGCGAACACGAGCCTGGTGCCTAGTCGGGTAGGGGTGGGGGGGCGGAGTAGTGTCCGAAGCAGCGGCAGCTCCAGAGTCCACTCCAGAAGAACTAGGCTCACCACCCCCAGAGGCAGCACTAACACCAGCTCCAGACCCAGGCTCACCTGAACCCAAAGGAGGCGCACCCTCACCCCCAGACGCAGCACCCCCAGTGTCCGCGCGGCCAGCACCAGCTCCCGGACGACAAGCGTCCTCTGCACCCACCTGGTCAGCTCCAACTCCAGAACCAGAAACTCCAGCTCCAACCCCAGCTCCAACTCCAGCACCCCCAGAACCAGAAACTCCAGTGCCAACTCCAGCTCCAACTCCAGCTCCAACTCCAGCTCTAACTCCAGCACCCCCAGAACCAGAAACCGGTACAGGAACAGGCGTCGCACCAACCTCTCGAGAGCTAGCACCAGCGGCACGCTGCGAGGAGGACTGTGGGGAGGGAGGCTGTACCGGAGGGGCTACCGAAGGAGGAGGGGTAGCCTGGGACACACCTGACGGGGCTGGACCAGGGGGGGAAGGCTGTACCGGGGGAGCAGGAGGGGGAACGGCAGTCAGGAAGAGGGGGGGAGGAGGAACCGGGAGACCTCGACTGGGGTACCTGACGTAGTACGGAGTGGACTCCTCGAAACGGACGTCACGGGAGTCAAAGAACCGGTGAGAGGGAGGGTGGTAAAAGGTGAAGTCAGAGGAGTCCTCAGGGAAACCAAGGAAGACACAGGGGACGGCACGAGGCGAGAGCTTGTCCGCGGAGGTGTCGCGGACAAGAGCCAAGCACCCCCAGACACGAAACCGCGACGCAACACCAGGGAACCCTGTCCAAAGACTGGTCGGTGAAACCTCTGGTCGAGAGACACGTGGCCAGAGGTTCAGCTGGTGCGCGGCGTACATGACCGCGTAGGGCCACAGAAAATGGGGGGCACAGGCGTGAGTCAGGGAGGTGCGGGCGATCTCCATGACCAGGCCTATGCGGCGCTCAGCAACCCCATTCTGCTGTGGGGACTCTGGAAGCGTCCAGGACTGACGAATGCCCTGCTCGCGACAGAATCCAGCGAGAATGCCGGAGCGAAACTCACCCCCACGGTCGGAGTGGAGACAGCTGACACGACGACCACGAGTGTCCTCGGTGGTGAGCAACCACCTGATCAGCGTAGAAGTCACCTCAGACTTCTTCGCCAGAGGGAACACTGTGGTGTAGCGGGAGAAGTCGTCAACGACCACCAGAAAGTAACGCTCACGCTCAGGGCCTAGACGAGGGGCTGGGCCCCAGACGTCCAAGTGAAGCGTCTCAAAAGGCTCGGTGGCCGGACGAAGGGAGGAGGAGTGAGGGGTGGCGCGCAGCCTACCCTCGACGCAGGGACGACACGGCGGCGCAGGCGAAGGCGGCAGCGACGGCAAGACACGTGGGAGGCCTAGGACAAGACGCTGACTAGACATAGCGCGCAGACGTGGAAGGGACGGGTGCCCCATCCGGTGGTGCCACAGAACGGTGGGGTGGGCAAGCGACCGGCAGGAGCACGACGCAGCGACTGGAACAGACGGAGGAACCTGACACGACACAGACACCTGGGGGGACGTAGCAACCTGGTGAGACGCGGGGACCCGAACGGGGGGGGGAACCGGGGGCAGTGGCAGTAGGGGGGGCTGCTGGTGCGGCCGCTGGTGCTGCTGCTGCTGCTGCTGCTGCGGCTGCGGCTGCTGCTGCTGCTGCGGCTGCTGCTGCGGCGCACGCGGGCCAGTGTGAAGAGTGTAGAGACCCGAGCCCGGCTCAGCAGTAAAGGTAGCAAGAGGCTGGTAAGAGTCTCCGTCAACACACACCGCAGTCTCTCCAGAAGGCTCAAACCACACACCCACGTGCTGGCTCACGAGGGGTCGCACGCCCACCAAGTTCCGGGAGAACGAGGGGACGTGAAACCCAGTGAGAGACCCGGAGGGAGCAGCAGGACACGGTAAAGTGGTAGTGTGACGTGCAGTGACTGGTCCCGTAGTGGGATCAGCCAACGCTACAGAAACAGGCGCAGGAAGTGGTGTAAGTGTCGTGCTGTCCCGAAAGAAGCAGTGGGAGGCTCCAGAGTCCAGTGTGAACGACAGCGAAGCGTCCTCTGAGGTAGTCGCTGGTCTAGAGTCTACACAAGTACCTACACTAGCAACAGGCAACTCAGCAAGACTAGCACCTAAGCTAACAACACCAGAGTAAACAGAGTCAGAAACACTAGAGTCAACAACAGCATACATAGCATGAGGAGCACTAATCAGATCAACTAACTGCTCAGCAGACATGCCCCACAGAGCGGAGCCGTAGCGCTGAACCAGAGGAAGCCAGTCAGGAGCAGGACCGCCAACCCCGTAGGTCAACCGGACCGTGTCAGTGAGCTGAGCAAAGCACTGACCAGGGGGGTGAAAGCGGCCACAAGGGTGGCCCCGACGAGGACCTGTCTGAACCTGGTAGGGGCAGGGAGGGTAAGCAGCACCGCGCTGGGGCTGACGCAGCCCCGACCCCGGAGCCAGCTGCTGACGCTGCTGCTGCTGAGGCTGCTGGGAGGAAAGGGGCTGCTGCTGCTGCTGAAGGTGCTGCTGACGCTGAGCCTGGTACCACGCCGCTGCTCCACCTAGCGGGGCCGACAGTACAGGAGGCGACTGACGAGCTCGAGGGTCGCTGCCACCAGCAGGTGCAGTGGAGTCACCGGCCGCTGCACGAGGGGTCTCTCCAGACGCTGCACTCCCACCACCGCCAGTCGCAACAGCACCCCCACTACCTCCGCTACCTCCGCCTCCACCTCCACCGGAACCACCTTTCTTGCCCCCCCTGCCGCGGGACCGCGACGCAGTCGTAACAGCAGCCGCAGTCGCGTCAGTAGCGGCAGTGGCAAGAGAGGCAGTGAAGGTGGGTAACTGCGGGACTGTGCACCCGTGGAAGAGTGGGGGGGATACAGTACCAGAGGCGGCAGCTACCGAACGAAGGTTGCTCTCGACATCCTTGAGTGCAGACTCAAGGACCTCGATAGTCAGCTCACTAGGGTGCTTCAGCAGAAGCGCGTCACGAACGGAGGCAAGGCGGTCAGGGAGGCTAGTGGCGATGAAATAGACAGTAATCGCCATGGGGGGAGGAAGCAGTGCAAGCTGTGCCTCAGTGCAAGCAGCGCGGTAACTAGCGTCAAGCGAGCGGAGGTGAGCGATCAAGTCAGCAGAGCGCTCAAACGAGGCAAGATCAGGAAACAGGAACGGGAGGAAAAGACGGCCGAGAGAGACAGTAGCGGGAGTAGAGTAGCGGGCCTTAATCGCAGTGAGGTACGCAGCAGCGGTGCGAACCTGAGTAAAGTGGACCTCCTCGGACTCAGGGAGGAGGCTGCTGAGTGCGATGCAGGCCGCAGCGTCACGCGACGTCCAAGCCGTCCGGTCAGCGCGCTGACGGGCAAAGCGAGCCGTAGCAGCATCGTCAGGAGCAGGGCCTAAAGCTGTAGGCTCGGGGGGCTCGGGGAGGTCACCAGTAGCGTGTGACCAGAGGGTCTCGCCCCCCTGGACCTGACTCTCTAACAGACGACGAGCGCGAAGAAGCCAGACGGAAAAGTCAAGGGGTCTACCGTCGGCGTCGAAACGAAGAACTCGCGGAGTCGCCATAGTGAGAACGAACAGGCGAGTAACAACCGGGGGGGGAAGAGGACTCAGTCGCAGCGGAAGAGTGGGCTAGGACGACGGGCCAAGACGTAGGGTAGGGCAACGGGCCAGGGCCTAGGGTAGGGCGACGCGACGGGGGAAAGGTCAGGGCGACGCGACGGGGCAGGGCGACGCGACGGGACAGGGCGACGCGACGGGGCAGGGCGGCGCGACGGAGCAGGGCGACGGGACAGGGCAGGGCGACGCGACGGGGTAGGGCGACGCGACGGGACAGGGCGACGGGACAGGGCAGGGCGACGCGACGGGACAGGGCAGGGCGACGCGACGGGACAGGGCGACGCGACGGGACAGGGCGACGGGACAGGGCGACGGGACAGGGCGACGGGACAGGGCGACGGGACAGGGCGATGTGACGGGACAGGGCGACGGGACAGGGCGACGGGACAGGGCGACGTGACGGGACAGGGCGACGGGACGGGGGGGGGTAACAGGCAGGCGCGACGCGACGGGGGGAACGGGCGCGACGCGACGGGGGGGAACGGGCGCGACGCGACAGGGGGAACGGGCGTGACGCGACGGGGGGGGAACAGGCGTGACGCGACGGGGGAGATGACGCTAGGCTCGGTACTAGGCGCGGTAACTACGAAACTGGTACGAACGAGAGGTAGGATCAGGCTCGGGAGGTACGAACGGAGAACGGAGGAACGGGATCCCACAGGATCCTAACCTAGCTGATACCATGTCAGAATGAGGAATGAGTGTTGCATTGATGTTGGTTGGGGTACATATGACAAACCCCAACTTCTGTACCCCCTAAGACAAACCTCACTACAGGCTACAACATTTGACACCTCCGCATGCACTCCCCGTTCCACTGCATTCTCTCCAAGTCGTGCCGTGTCTTCCGCCTTCACCGCTGCTCTCACACCACCTATTACACAAACCTCTACCCTCGGTTCGTTCTGTGCCACAAAGCTGTCTCCCGCTTTCGCCTAGCTGGACTCACCGGTGACTATTCAGGCTCTTTGCTGGCAACACCACTAATGGCTCAAGCAGTACAACCACCACTCATGGTACACACAGTAGTGTAACAGCCATGCCCCTCTTCACGCCTCCCCCCTTGTGCTTGTTAGCGGTTGCAATCGCGCCGTGACAGTACCCGCTGTTCCTTTGGCTATTCATTACCGCAGCAGGCGCCGGGTCAGAACGCGCCTCGTACTCCGCGCGCACCCCTTCCGCCATTCTGCTTCAGCTCGATCGTCCTCGGCCTTAGACGCTCCTGACCTCCCGTCAACGAAGTCAACGATCCGAACGTGGGGAAAACCCGATCATGCCGCTACTGTACTCAAACGTCACAGGTACTCTTTACCACTAGTAAAAACTCGACCTCCCTCGATCTCGCTCAGAAAATGCGTGCAACAACGCCCGGCATTAGTACTAGCAATACAAGGGCTCAGTAGTGCGCGAGTTGTTGCCCAAGTAGGGACTATATACTACTACTAGTGATATTTCCGTTTCGCAATCGTACACTCTCAATCTTATCCGCGCAGATAGTCTTTCCATTTTCACTCAACATATGGCGCCATTCCCTCGCGACCTCCCGTTCCCCCTCCCCGTCCCCTCGCGCCCACGTAGGGCCTAAATACTTCTAGTGCCATTTCCGCCTCTCCAATCGTACACTCTCATTTTAATCCGCACATTTCCAGATTCTCACACAGCATTATGGCCTCATTCCCTCGCGCCCTCCCATTCTTCCTCCCCGTCCCGTCGCGCCTTGCCCTCATCGCCCTCCTTGCGCTCATCGCGCTCCTCCGCCAGGCGGAAGCCGCATACACCGAGCCGCCGATCCCCGACGGGTGCGTCGCGGAGATAGCGGAGGTGGACCGGGAGGCCATGCGCGCGGTGTACGCGGCGCTGCCCAAGATGATGTTCTTCTGGCACGACGGCATACCGCAGTACAAGCTGTTCGACGACAGCCACAACGTCTCCTACTGCTGCGTCGCGCCCACGCCCGCTGGTGTCTCGTGCCGCCTCTGGTGCCCGCTCGAGTGCACGCCCGCCGGCCGCATAACGGGCATTTTTTCTGACCCCAGCCGCCAGGACATGCCCGGGCCCAGCGGGAGCGGAGGGAGCTGTCCGCCCGGTGCGCTGTCGCCCGCCATTGGCGATCTCGCGGAACTCTCCTCGCTGGTCTTCCGCCACTCGTGCCTCGCCGGCGACTTGCCGGACTCCGTCACGCGCCTCCAGAAGCTGAAGATTTTTGAAATGCCCGAAAACATCTTATTCGGGCCCATTCCGCCAGGCCTCTTCCGCCTGCCCGCGCTCCGCCACGTGGATCTCAGCATGATTAGTCCCTACCCGTACTTTCAAGTTGAATCTGAAGGCCTGTCGGGGTCCCTTCCCGACGGGCCCGACGCGTACTCCCCGTCGCTGGAAACGGTAATCCTGTCCGGCAACGCGCTATCGGGGGAGCTTCCGCGCGCCCTTCTCCGCGCGCCTGCGCTGCGCCGGCTGGACCTGCAGAACAACAACATCACGGGGGAATTCCCGGAGGAGGCGGGCGCGTATTCGCAGAGCATTACCGCGCTCATCCTGCGCAAAAACAGCCTCTCCGGCGCTATTCCGCCCGCGCTGAAGGAGATTACGGCGCTGCGGAAACTCGACCTGGGGGAGAACCGCCTATCCGGCGCGGTGCCCGCGGCGCTGCGCGACTTCGAGTCGCTCAAGGCGCTCGACGAGGTGCGGCTCGACAGCAACGCGCTCACCGGGCCGTTCTGCGACGCGCTGCTGCCGGCGCGCGAGCTCTGGCTGGGCTTCAACGACCTGAGCGGAGGGACCGCTGGGAGCAGCGCCAACGCCAGCGGCGGCGGAGGTGAGGGGGAGGAAGGTGGGGGCTCTCTGCACGGCTGCGTCTTGCCCCCGAAGCTACAGATGCTCAGCGCGCCGCACGCGGGGCTGCGGGGGAGCGTTCCGCCCGACCTGTTCCTGGCGACGAATGCGCAGACGGGGCGGAGGCCCTCCATGGGCGGCTTGGGTAGGATAATCCAGATCGACCTGAGCTACAACAGCCTCTTGCGCAGCCTGACGGCTTTCACGGTGCTTCCGTCTGGGGACTTGGATCTGTCGCACAACAACTTCTCCGGCGGCATTCCCGAGGTGTTTTTCAGCGGCGGCTTCTCGTGCGCGGACCTGCGGAATAATGAGCTGTCGGGGCCGCTGTTTGACACGCGCCGAGAGGCGTGGAATTACGACTGGGACGTGCTGCGCGTGAGCGGCAACAGCGCGCGCATGGCGGGCGCCGTGGGCGCGGGGTACCTCCCCGCACTGTCGCCTAACGTGCAGGCGTCCGCTGCGGAGACTGAGGCGCTGCTGGCCGTGCGTGATGCGCTCCTGGGGAAAACAGCGGGGGGAGCAGCGGGGCGAACGGCGTTGGCGGATGGCGAAAGCAGCTCGTGGGCGGAGACACTGCGCAGCTGGGACGCGAGCAGCAGCAGCGCGTGTGCGTGGTACGGCGTGGGATGCACAGCAGACGGACACGTGGACACGGTGCACCTGGAGGGCAATACCAACGTCTTCCTGCACCCCAACGTCGTCCCAGAAACGCCCCATTGCGAATACGACAAGTACGGATTCAAGATGTGCGGGCACGCGGATCCGCCGCCTCCCCGCCAACTGCGGTTCTTCCTGCGGGGCCTTCCTGGCGGCAGCTCGAACAGCAATGCGGGCGGGAGTCTGTCGGAGGCGTTGGGGCAGCTGACGCAGCTCACCTCGCTGCGCATCTCCGGGCACGCCCTCTCCAGCGGCCTGCCGTCGTCCCTCTCACGCCCCTCTCACCTCGTCACTCTCGACCTCTCCTCCAACCGCCACCTCTCCGGCTCCATCCCTCCGGGCCTCTTCGCCCTCCCCTCGCTGCGAGAGCTCTCCCTCCGCGGGAACAACCTCACGGGAGAGCTCCTCCCAGCCGCCACTGCAGCAGCGGCAGCAGCAGCAGCAGCAGCAGCAGGGGCGGAGGCGGCGGCGCCGCCGCTGCTGTCACCGAGTTTGGAGAGTCTAGACGTGGGGGAGAACGCTCTCTCGGGGTCCATTCCAGCTGACGTGGGTCTTCTGACGGGGCTGACGCGCCTGGCGCTGGACCACAACCGGCTGGACGGCAGCTTGCCAAGGGAGCTCGGCGCGCTCTGGATGCTCACACACCTGCAGCTGCAGGGGAACGCCCTCCAGGGGGACGTCTCTGCACTCGCTGCCGCCTTCCGCCCCCCTGCTGCTGCCAGCGATGGCAGTACCGCCGACTCTGCTGCCTCCAGTGCGCCTGGCTTGTGGGGTCTCAGCGGGGTGTTCCCGCTGCTGACTCGTCTGGATGTTAACAGCAATCAGCTCTCGGGCGATGTAGCCACGCTCTCCCCTCTCCCGCAACACTTCCACACACTCAACGTCTCTCACAACCTCCTCACGTGCGGTCCCGGCAACGCCTCCTGGAACGCCGACTACCTGGACCTCTCACACAACCGCATCAGCGCCCCGCTTCAGGACCTCTTTGCGAAAGACGACAGCTTCGATTCGAAAGTGCTGCGCCTGTCTCACAACCAGCTCTCGGGACCCATCCCTGCCACGCTCCTGCGAGACACAGTGCAAGGAGAGTTGGACCTCTCACACAACCTGCTCACGGGTTGAATTCCCACCATCGTCAATTTGGTCTCCATGGAGACTCTCGACCTGTCATACAACCAGCTGTCTGGCACCATTCCTGAGCTGGATCGCTTCCTGATAAGATGTGACTTGTCCCACAACCGGCTCACCGGGGAAGTCCCCCCGCCGTCATTTGTAATGCAGTATCTGAACGCAAGTTGGAACAAGCTTGATGGGATGGCCCAGTGGCATTTTAGTTAGGGCAGGGGGTTAAAAAGTCTGGACGTCTCTCAAAATGCCATGGCGGGAAATCTGCCAGCTCACAGGTTCAATTCCTGCCATCGTCAATATATACTCCATGAGGACTCTCAACCTATCGTACAACCAGTTGTCCGGCACCATTCCCAAGTTAAGTGGCTCGCTGATATTATGTGACTTGTCCCACGACCGGCTCACCGGAGAGGTCCCCCCGCCGCCATTTGCAATGCATTATCTGAACGCGAGTTGGAACAAGCTTGATGGGATGGCTCGGTGGCATTATCATGAGGGCAGGGGGTTAAAAAGCCTGGACGTGTCTCACAATGCTATGGCGGGAAATCTGCCGGCCTTGGGTTACAGTGGTGGGCTCATGAGCCTGACCTATCTGGACCTCTCCTACAATGCATTCAATGGCACTCTTGCGCAACAGACCTACCCGTTTTTGGAGCGAACGACAGGATCAGGAAAAGTGGAGCTTGCATGCAAGTTACAGGCTCGGCTGAGCCACAATGAGCTCACTGGGAGCATCCCTAGTATCGTATTCTCCTCGTGCCTATCGCTGCTCGACCTCTCCCACAACCAGCTCTACGGCCCCATCCCAGACCCTCCCCAGAGGAACAGCCAGAGCTCCTCCCTCGTCCCCCTCGCCTACTTGGACCTCTCTTCCAATAAGCTCACAGGAAGCATCTCCGATGCTCTTGTTACCGGCCTCACAGCCCTATCCCACTTGGACCTCTCTGACAACCTGCTCTCGGGTTCGTTGCCGCGCTCGCTCGCCCTCGCCCCCGCGCTCACCCACCTGGACCTCTCACGCAACAAGCTCAAGGGCTCCCTGCCTGCCTTCTGCCAGGGCAAGCAGCGCCTCGCCTCTCTCCTCCTCTCCTCCAACACTTTCTCTGGCCCCCTCTCCTCCCTCCTCCCCTCCTCCTCCTCTTGCGCCTCCTCCCTCCTCTCCCTCAACGTCTCCACCAACCAGCTCTCCGGCTCGCTCCCCTCGTCCCTCTCGCGCTTTACCGCTCTGCACTCCTTGCTAGCGGCGCGCAACCGCATGAGCGGCAGCATCCCCGCAGGGCTGGCATCGCTGACGGCCCTGCAGGAGCTGGACGTGTCGTGGAGCGGGCTGTCAGGCACCATCCCTGCGCTGCTGCGTGCTGCTGCCCCCTCCCTGCAAGTGCACCTCGCTGGCAACGCCCTCTCTGGCTCCGTCCCCCCCTCTCTCTCCGACCTGCCCACCTCCTGCTTCCGCCCCGGCAACCCCAAGCTCTGTGGGAAACCCCTGCCTGACTGCAAGAAGCGCTCTTCCAAGCCCAGGAAGGGGAGGTTGTAGGGTCTGGCGAGGCGGGAGGACTCTGCGCATCTTCTGTGTTAATGGGAACCTGCCTGTGGGCTGCAGGCAAGGCGCCCACTGTTATCCGTTCCCTAGTGTACCTGCACACCATAGAGGGTGACTAATTTGATCAATAGTGAACTTAAAAACAATCTCTGTTATTGAGAAAGCTTGCTTTCTTGTCCTTATAATTTGGCATCGTTCTCATTGCAACTGGCTTATTACAACATATGCATCGTTCGTAAACACATGCTAGTACATGCAAATATTACTAGCTATGGAGTCGTCCGTCCAAGCAGCTGTGGTCTTGTAGTTGGTCCGGGGTGGGTTGTGGGGATGTTGATTGAGCCGTTGGAAAACGAGAAACGTGGGTGGAGGGAATGAACTCCAACCCACGGTTTCTGTAGTTGGAGAAGGGCGTTTAGCGCGCTTCGACGCTGCCAAATATTCGGTACAGTCAGCTTCGCTTTCACAATACACAATTTTGAAAAACATCCATGTGTTTAGAAATTATAATATTGAGAAAGCTTGCTTTCTTGTCCTTATAATTTGGCATCGTTCTCATTGCAACTGGGGCCTCTGAGACATGGCCAGTGGTGGCTTGCGGTTGCGTAAGAGTGCCTCTGCGTGCTGTTCTGGGGGCAGCGCGTATGTCGGGTCCTGTAGGTCGCGGGATGCCTTGATAAGATGTCCGACGTATGGTGTGACGTACATCTCTTTGGCGGTGTCACTTCGCCACCTGCCCATCCTTTTGAAGATTCTGTCCGGCACGCCGATGTTGGCGGCTACGGTTGCCGCGCCCTTTCGGAAGGAGTGCGTGCCGAGCTGCTGCTCCCCAAGTCCTACTTTGGCGAATGCTTCTTTACACCAGTTTCGGATCGTTGTGTACGAGGGTGGCTTGGCCTGGCCCTTGTTGGCTGAAGCGTGGCTGAAAACGCGAATCAACGACCCCTCGGAATGAGGGCCATAGCCAGCGAGTTGGAGGAAGCGTTGGGTGCAGCGCACGGGGCAACAAGGGTCCGTCGTTGCAGCGATGGGAATCCAGGTTCCACGACCAGCCTGGTCCGTTTTTGAGTGTGGGATGAGGATCCACATGACTGCATCGTCGAATTGGATGTCTTGCCACTGGATGGCAACGAGGTCGGAGTATCGCAAAAATCCGGAGTACATGAGGATAGGGATCAACCCCTTCTGAAATTCAGCGGGATTGTCCGACTGCAAGTAGTTCGCGGACATGTCCCGAACTTGTTGGATTGATACGGGCTCCTTCAAACGACTAGGGCGAGGGCAGTGTCGTTTCGCGTAGTCCCGCACTTGGGTGGTAAACGGTCCGACAGTCGGGCATTTGCTTCCAGTCATGCGATGGGCGAAGCTGACTGCCGAGCACGTGAGCTGCACTACAGACAAGGTTGCTTTGCGTTGGATTGCATGCACCAAGTATAGCGCGAGGGTCATGTCGGATGCGGGAAGAAATGGAAGATCCACCTTTGTGTAGAAGGCCCGAAACTTGGCCCAGTACGGTTCGTATGTACGGATTGTCGAATTCGCTCGCGATTGTGTGAGCATGTTGATGAGTTGGTTGTGTAGCTTTGGGAGCGGATCTGGACACAAGGCGCGTACATTCTCAATTAGTCAAAAACCACCCGAAGTGCGATGATTGGGCTGTGTGGTAATCCAGTGCCTGAAAAAGCAGCGGAATGTGTTCCAGCTGCCAGGCATTGGCTGCCGTGTGTCAAGGGAATGTGCGCGTGGATGTACGGTGCCCAGTTGCGTGGGGAAGGTTGTAAAAGTGCCCACCAGTTTGCACCCGGCCAGTGTGGGATGATCAATGTGAGCGATGCTCGGGTGCGCTGTGCGTGATGGAGGACGGCCGGAACTAAATGGGGCGGGGGGAACGCAAAGCTATTTTCTGATGTCCATGCGAGCGAGAATGCATCGACTGCGGTGGCTTGTGGATGAGGAATTTTCGTGCAGAAGCGTGGCAGCTGGGAGTTGCGGGAGTTTGCAAAGAGGTCGATGGAATGGGGACCCCAACGCCGTTCTAAGATGCGGAACCACGGCGTCTTCAACGAGTAGTCGTCATGATCGACTGCTTTTGAGAGCTCATCGGCGTGTGAGTTTAGCTCCCGTGGGATCCATTCGATGATTAGACGCGTGCCGTGCTCCATGCATAGTCGAATGATGTCTTGGCAGGCCGTGGTAAGGTCGGGGCTGCGCGAGCCACCTTTGCGAAGGATGAAGAAGACGCCCTGATTGTCCACCCGCACAAGAACATGTTTGTGCGTGATCTTGCTGGAGTATGTTTGGAGTGCCCAAAGCACACCTTCGATCTCCCTCCGTGTGCTGGACGTCGCTCGCAGCGGCTCTGGCATTGTTGCGCTAGCTTCTTCGAGGCCGCCAGGAAATGTGGTCAAAGTGGCGCCCCAACTGTGAGCGCTAGCATCCACATGGATGACAGCGTCGTAGTTGTTTCGAACGTGAAACGGTGCACCGTTGAACCTATCAAACTCTTCGAGCCAGAAGTTTAGCTCCTCAGCCGCGTTTGGGGGGATGATCACGCTGCTTTTCCATGAAGGTGCGTCATTGATCACTTGTAGCATGGCGTGGCTAAAAGCACGAGCTGTTGCGCCCAGCGCGACGCCCATTGACGCGAGCATGCCTGTGATTCTGGCCACTTGGCGGACTGAGACGGGTCGACATGCCTTGCTTGCGCTCAACAGGTTCCGAATGGTTGCATGTAGTGAGGCTCGTCGTTCGGGACCGATGGTAAATCGGCCCGTGGCCGTGTCTAGCTCCACACCCAAGAATCGAAGGTGTTGCGATGGTGACAGCTGTGATTTCTTCGCATTTATCACCAAACCTGCTGCTTTAAGGTCCAGTATTACACGGTGGCAAGTAGCCTGCGCGTGAGCTTTTGACTGGCAAAGGAATAAGATGTCGTCCACGTATGGTACTACTCGGATGCCTTGCTCCCGCCAGCGACGGGCTAGCTGCTTGATGAGTTGCGTGAAGATGAATGGGGCTGTCGCAAGACCGAACGGCAATGAACGAAAGGAGTAAGTGCGCCCATCGAATCCAAAACCGAGAAACTTCCAGCATGAAGGATGGATATCGATGTGATGGTACCCGGATTTGAGATCAATAGAAAACATCCAATCCCCAGCGCGTGCCACGTCTGCCACACGGCTGAGTCCTTCGTACTTGAATTTTGGGACGATGAGGTTTGTGTTGACTTTTCTCAGGTCGAGGATGAGCCTGCATTTTTCTCTCTGCTCGACCACGTTAAGTGGGCTTATGCACGTAAGCTCGCTTGCGGCTGTCTCGACTGCAGCTCCGGTCTCTGTGAGTTCTTGGATGGCAGTACGTGTGAACGACGCATGCGCGTATGCACCAGCGTGGTTACGCTCCCGAAAGGCCTGTGGTGGGCCGTGGCTCCATGGAAGCCAGTAACCGTTGGCGATGATGGATAGGACGAGGCTGCAAGGGCACCATGAGCTCCACCACGCAAAGGTCGAGCGAAGCCGACCGCACATCCGTGTGACGGTTTTGTCCGTGACGGCGAATTCGTACGGGCCATCGTCGCGAGGCACCTCGTATTGTTGTGCTCCTGTATGTACGGCAAGGAAATGAACGCGACCAATCAGGTTGCACGCCTTAATTAGTTCATGCGTGTGACATATACATGCATGCGCGAAAAATGAACCGTCAACAGTGAGGACCATACGGACGGTTTGTCGTCATTCCATATAGGGCGTCCGATCGCACCTTGGCAAACTCTTTCTTATACTCTCTCCTTTTCCCTCCCCTCGTTTTTTTTTTTTTTTTTTTGCTGGAGGATTGATGCTTGGGACCATGATCATGCTTCCCTCGTGTGCTCTCTCTCTCTCTCTCTCTCTCTCTCTCTCTCTCTCTCTCTCTCTCTCTCTCTCTCTCTCTCTCTCTCTCTCTCTCTCGCTCTTTCTCTCTCCCTCTCTTTTTGGATGTGTTTCCATTGTTGTTTGAGCATTTGCATGCTTCGCTTGTCATGGGCTCGTGTCTTTTCGCGCGTGCCTTTACTTGGGCTAGGCGACATCGCTATGCCCTACTCCCCCCCCCTTGCTCCTTCTCACCCTTTTTGGGCTTCCAACGGTTGAACCAGGGCTGCTCATCCTTGCCATGCATGGTGGCGGTTTGAGTGAGGAGCGTACGTACTCTCTTTTTCTCCCTCTCCCCTTCTCCTCCTCCTTTTTTTTTTTTTTTTTTTTAATCCTTGACAAACAAGAGGGGCCTTTAATAAAATCCCTATCTCTCATGGTCATACATTGTCATGCCTACTAGCATGTTTCTCATCCCATCAATTGGGGCATACGGGGGACCGAGAGGCATTCTTCCTCTTCCCCAAAGCTAGACCTACGGCCATACTTTATTACCCTATCCTAGGGGACCGAGAGGCATTCTTCCTCTTCCCCAAAGCTAGGCCTATGGCCAACTTCTACCACCCTATCCTAGGGCTGGCCATGGCCACCGCAAGCCCTACTAGGCTGCCCACGGTCTAAGCACTCAAAAGTGCACCGTGCATCGCGCCTAGAGGCGTGCTTCACCATAGCCCGAACCTTACACAACCGGTGCGGGTCCTTGGCCCCCATGCCCATTCCGAGGGCAGGCATTGGCGACGTGGCCTGGCTGTCCGCAGCGGAAACACGAACCACGAAAGCCTTGGAAGTTGCCCGAGGTTGGAGGGCCACGTTTTGGGGCGAACGCCTTGGCGCCGTGGTTTCCACCACGGTGGGAGCGAGCGTGAGCGCCCGCCGCTCGGTCCATGGCAGCCACGTCCGCGACGGCTTGCTTGAACGGCCGCGAGGTGAGAAGGCTTTTCTGCAGGTACATCTTGTAGCGCTTGGCAACGCGGTCGTCGGATGCGTCTTCGACTTGAAACATGTCGAAGCGCGCGGAAATGTCGTCGAGGGCGGCGACGACCATTTCGAGTCCGCCCGCCAAGTCGCCGTGCTGCAGCTTGTGCT